GGAATATGCAGGAAATGTGATACACCGTGAAAAGACCAAATCTACACATCAGAGGCATAGAGGAAGGAGATGAATCTCAAATCAATGGCATTGACCAACAGGATTATAGAAGAAAACTTCCCTAAATTAAGGAAAGACATAACTATATAGTTACAAGAAGCATGAAGAACATCAGTTAGATAGTACCAGAACAGAAACTCCCATGGCGTATCACAGTAAAAGCACTAAACATGCAGAAAAAAGAGGGCACTGAAAGTCGCATGAGAAAAACAAGTTACATTTAGGAAAACCCATAAGAATTACAGCTGACTTTTCTAATTTATTATTTTTATTTTATGGAGTATATTGCCTGCATGTGTATAAATGTACCCATGTAGTGCTGTACCCACTGAGGTCAGAAGAAGGAGTTGGATTCCCCTGGAAATGGAGTTACAGATGGTTGTTAGCTGCCATGTGGGTGCTGGGAACTGAACTGGGTCCTCTATAAGAATAGCCAGTGCTCTTAACTGGGCCATTTCTCCAGCCCCTACAGCTGAGTTTTCAAAGCAAACTATAAAATCCAGAAGAGCCTGGAGCCAAGTATTCCAAGTTTTTAATGACCATAGATGCGAACCCACACTTTAGCCAGCAAAACTGTCTATCATAGTCAAAGAGGAAATAAAAATCTTCCATTATACAAATAGGCTGAAAGAACTCATGTCCACCAAACCAACCCACAGAGAATACTCAAAGGAATATGAAAGACTGAAGAAAGAAATGACCATACTCAAGAGTTTACATAAAGAAAACAAATGAAAGTATAAGTACAGAGAAACAAAATAAGACTAAGAACACAAACAAAATAAATGACAGCAACTAATATATACCTTTCAATAATAACTCTAAATATCAATGTCCTCAACTCCCTAGTCCAAATATACAGGCTAATTGAATGGATTAAGAAACAAAAATCCACCTATTTTTTTGTCTGCAAGAAACTCACCTTACTTCCAAAGATAGGCACCGCCTTATGGTGAAAGGATGGAAAAAATATTCCAAGCAAATGACACTAAGAAACAAGCAGGAGTTGCTATTCTAATATCTGACAAAATAGACTTCAAATTAAAATTAATCAAAAAAGATAAATAAGGTTATGACATTATAATCAAGGGATCAACCAAGAAGACATCATAAGCATGAACATATATGCAACAAATTCTGGTGTACCCAATCTCATAAAAACAGTACTACTGAACTTCAAGACACAGATTAACCCCAACTCAGTGAGTTCCATACCACACCTTCTTCAATAGACAGCTTATCTGGACAAAAATTAAACAGAAACGTCTGAATTAAATGATATTATGTATCAAATGTATATGAGTGTATGTGTGTGTGTGCATTTTTTCAGTAGGCTTTTGAACTAATACATTTCCCTCTGGTTTTTCACATCTACTAAGCATTATTTACTTCACCTCTCTCTCTCTCCTTGTATTACCATCTTTCCTCCCTCCCCAGTTAAAATATGCCCATTTCCCCCTTGATAACACTGTCTCCTGCCTCTCTTGAGCTTTTTCTTCCCCTTTGCCCCATGGTTCCTTTCCATTTTCCTGGATCCTGTAGTTACATTGAGATATATACTCAGATCTAAGGATCTGGAGCTATGTCACTTGTTTTTCTGAATTTCTGTTACTTAACTAAGTTTCCAGTTCTATCCATTAACCTGCAAATTTCATGATTTCATTCTTCTTTACCACTGAGTAGAACTCCATTGAGTAAATGTACCACGTTTTCATTATTCATTCATCAGTTGTGGGATATTTAGGTTGTATCCATTTCTTATCTATTGTGAAGAAAGCAGCAACAAATATGGCTGCACAAGTTTCTCTGCAGTAGGATGAGTCCTTTGGATATAAGCCAAGGACTGGTATAACCAGATCATATGGTACATTTAAGTTTTGTTTTTTATTTTAAGAGTTCTCCACGCTGCTTTCCACAGTAACTTGCACTGGTTTTCAATTCCACCAGCAGTGAATGAAGTTTCCCCTTTCCCCACATCCTCACCAGCGTTTGGTGTCATTTGTTCTCTTGATCTTAGTTATTCTGATTGGGGTTAGATGAAATTTTAGTTTTGATTTGCACTTCCAAAATTACTAAGGCTGTTGAACATTTTTTAAGGTGTTTCTTAGCCATTTTTATTTCTTCCTTTGAGAGTTCTCTATTCAGATCCATGACCCATCTTTTTAATTGTGTCATTGTTCTATTGTTTTTCTTGGTTCTTTGTATATTCTGGATATTAATCCTCTGTCAGATGTGTAGCTGGTGAGGATTTTCTCCCAGTCTGTGGGTTTCCTCTTCACTTGATTGGTTGTTTCGTTTGCTATACAGAAGCTTTCTGGTTTAATGAGGTCCCACTTGTCAATTGTTGACCCTACTTCCTGAGCAACTGATGTCAGATTTGGAAAGTCCTTTTCTGCACCTATATCTTGTAGGGTACCGCCTATATTTTTTTCTAACGGTTTCAGGTTTCACATTGAGGTCTTTGACCCATTTGAATTGACTTCTGTGTAGGGTGATAAATAAGGGTCTAATTTCATTCTTCCACATGTAGAGAGAGATTCAGTTTTCTCAACACTATTTGTAAAAGATGCTGGAACCCAGAAGTTCCTCCCAAAAGCTAGAATTGATCGGGAGGGCAAGTCTAGAGACCCACGCCGAGTGACGCTGAGCACACTGGGAAGAGGGGTGGAGCCATTGCCATACTGAACACGGGAACCTCGGAACCACAAGGGAACACAGGAAAAGACAGCGGGCGGGCGGGGGAGGGGGTCGTCATGCCTTCAGTTTTGTCAATCCACGTCAGGACCGCGAGACCCTGAGGGGTCTCTCAGTGGAGAGGGGAAAATTTAGTGCAACAGATGCTGTCTTTCCTCTAGTATGTGTTCTTGGCACCTTTGTCAAATATTAGATGGCTGAAATTGCATGCACTATTTTGTTCCATCAATCTACATGTCTGCTTTTGTGCCAATACCATAATTGTTTTTTATTACTATAGCCCTGTAATACAGTTTGAGAGCTTGTAGGGTAATTCAATAAAAAAATATAAATGAAAAAGAGCTTTATTGACTACATACTTTGGGCACTTTATCTGTAATCTATCCATTTATGAAAACTTCAAAAAGTTCTTATTGCCATACTGTTTGTTTTAGCACAATTGAAATAACTTATGTGTCCATCCATATTTGTTTCAATATCAGGGCTTACTCTTCTATTAGTTTATTCATGCATCAATTTTGCGAAGTTTTAACTACTCAGGCAGGGGTGTAGGCCAGTGGCAGAACATTTGCTCAAGGCTCTGCCTGCATCAGTCACTAGCAGAAAAAGTTAAGTGTGATGGTGCATACCCATAATCCCAGCACTCAGAGGAGGATGAGGCAGAAGATCTGGAATACAGGCCAACCTGGTCTGCATAGAGAGAGCCTGTCTCTACAAGGAACTGTCCTTTCTCACTGTTCTCATCTAGAGTCACTGGTAGTTCTTTCTGCAGATGATTTAGTTCTGAAACAAACTTACTGCCTTCACATTGAGCTCACAGGGAGATCTAAGCAAGGGTTAAAACCCAGCTAAGTACAGCACATGGTAAAGCCAGGTCATCCTTTGTTTAAAGCCAAGGCAGCTATTTTTCTTTTTCTGAGAGTCTTATACTGTGGCTCAGAACTCCCAGCAATCCTCCTGCCTCAGCCTTCCCAGTGTTACGCAGCATGAACCACTATACATAGCTCAGAACTCTTGAACAAGCTGTCTTTCATTGATTAGCATATGGAACCGAACTTGACTCAGCATCGAAGATGCCTATGGGGGAAAACCCAACTTCCTATTTTCATATGCACAATTTTTATGGTTATTCTGTGGAGCACTGAGGGTTGGAAAAAGAACGTCATCTTCATAGTCGTCATCATCAGAGACGGGTTCTCACAACTTTCAATATAGATCAGGCTGACCTTGAACGCAGAGATGCACCTTCTGCCTCTCAAATGTTAAGATTAAAGGTGTGTACTACCATTCCTGACTATTTAAACATTAAAAAATATTTTATTTTTATTTTATGTATATGAATGCATTGCCTGCATGTATATAAGTGCACCCATGACATGCAATGCCTGAAGAGATCAGAAGAGAGCGTCAGATCCCCTGGAACTGGGCTTGTGGATGGGTGTTAGCCACCATGTGGGTGCTGGGAATCAAACCCAGGTCCTCTGCAAGAGCAGTTAGTGCTCTTAACCACTGAGCCATCTCTCCAGCCCTATTTAAACATTTTTTGAGGGGAGTTTAATACTTAGAAAAAAATATTTGTGTGCAAATACAAATAGAAAAATGGCTCCATCTGTAAAGGCAACTTGAAAGTGGGGACAGAGAAACAAGCAGCAGGAGAGCTGGAGAGACCACATATTTCTTTAAAAAAAAAATGCTGTATTTTTATGTGAAAAAAAAGGGACAGCTGGCAAAGATAAAAAATCAAAGCAAAACAGTATTGCCTTAGTGGACACTGAAATGAACCTTTTCAGACATACCACCATATACTCCCATCCCACCAGGACACCCTCTTATGCTTCATCCCACCAGGACACTCTTTTACCACGCCCCTCATCACACCAGGACATCTTCTTATGCTCTTATCCCAACCAGGAGACCATCTAGCCTCCTCCCACCCATCATCCTAGGAGAGTCTCCTGCTCCTACCTTATTCCACCAGGAGACCCTCTCACCCCATCATGACACCAGGACATTCTTTCATCCCCTCAATCACACCAGGAGACCCTCTCACCTCTCCCCATCTCACCAGGACATCCTCTCGCCCCATCACACTGGGAGACCCTCTCATCCCCCTTCATCACATTTCCATTCTCCCTCAGCCCACTCCAGGAGGAAATTCAGCTTTCAACAAACACCTCTGTCAACTGCCTGACTTGAAAAATGATAGCATCATTAGACAGATTTTCTAAACATATACCCACACAGAATTCAGGGGAAGGGGATGTTTATTTGTCATTAATCTTTTGAATACAACCACCAGAATTCTGCAGATCTAATATAGCAGTAAGCCAGGCTCAGCACTTCCAGGAGTTCACAACTTCATGGCTAAGGTTCCGGTTAAGGTAATATGGTTATTAACACAATATAAATGAAGCTTTAAAAGAAATTTGATATCTTTATAGAAAATATGAATAACTCAGACATTAGACTTAGGAACATGAGTGCAGGTCAGCACAACACTCAGGCGGGAAGGCCTCAGTGAGGATTGGAAAGAAGCACCACTACTTTAATGACATTTGGTCATCAGCTAGTGTAAATAAGGCAGCACATTAGGCATACAAAGTGCAGCTACATGTACAGTAGAAAGCTGGTGGTGAATGGCAGGCACAGGGGGCTCCAGATGGCTCCTTAATCATCCTCTCCTCCACAGAGTAGCAGCAGGGCTTTTTTATAGTCCCCAGATGTGTCACTCTGGAACCCAAACATACTGTTAACTCGATGATTCACAAAAGCCTCCGGAAATAAAACATCAAGAAATATCTGGTCATAAATTTTGTTCCTATGACTTTTTTCTACATAACTCTCACATCAGGAATGTTACAGGGGGAAGTTTCTACCAATATGTCTTAATTTAACTTTCTAATTTTATCCCTTAAGGGCCCAGTTCTCTCAATGACCGTGAAGTATGTTCTTCTGCATAAAACAGAGAACAGGGAAACTTTTCCAACTACACTAAAATCAAGCTTTCTAAAGAGACTCCCAGTTTTTATCACACTCTTCTCTGTGGCTAACAAATGGCATGGGGGAAGGGGAAGGGGGAAGCTTCCCGAATGCAGTGACTGCGCCTCAGACACAACTTCAGAACACTTTACCCAAACTGAGGTCACCTGCTAGGCTCTAAGTTCCCTGAGAGCCTTGAAAATGCCTATACCCCAGCTCTTACTCCATCTCTTCAGGAAACATTTGGCTAGGCTTGAGAACCCCTAGTTCTAATTCTACCACTAGAATTTTATTTTGAATTATTTTTATTTTTATTTTACGTGTATGAGTGCTTTGCCTGCATGTATATAAGTGCACCATGTGTGTGCAATGTTCGCAGGCCAGAAGAGGATGTCAGATCCCCTGGAATTGGAGTTTCAGACAGTTGTTAGCCACAATGTGGGTGCTGTGAACTGAACTGAGGTCCTCTACAAGAGTAGCCAGTGCTCTTAACTGATGAGCCATCTCTCCTGCCCCATCCACCAGAATTTCAAATTCAACATAAGAACTGGATTCTTCCATCCATTTCCTGCATGTTTCCCAGTGGTCAACTTTGGGTTTCCAATGTAAAGCAAGGTTCTACCTTGATCATGGAATAGAGAGAGGTGGCGAAGTTCTTTCTAAACTCCTTCCTGATGTTAAACAGATCAATCTCACTCCTGGATACCATGACTCTAATGAGGGTGTGATCATCTGTTCCAGCACCCTGTAAAAGAGAAAAGAGAGGTGCATTATTAAAACTTCAAATACAGCACCGAATATCTCAGTAGTTGAGGTAGGAGCGCAGCAGCTTAGCAGAAATAGGATACATGCTTTAAGAAGGCATAAATTTCCAAGTTTGTCATCTAAAGTATACTTAGAGATGGAGAAAGACAGTAACTAGAAAGATACAGTCATTAGAAGCTTCAGGGTGCTCACTCACCTTCATAGCATAGTAGAGGGTCTCTGCAAGGTAGGCAGGTATGCTCCGAATGGATTTCACTAAGAAAACAAACACAATGAGCAGAAGAGAAGCTAGTAGACTTGAGAAGAATGACACAATCAGAACACTGCCTCACATTCAGCTCTGCTTCTCAGAAAGTGTAAATGGGAGACAGGCTGAGGGGCTGCTCAGTGCAAGCAGCTCAGGCTCCCTTACCAGCTAGTTTCTTAACGCTGGCTTGGGTTTCCTTGGAGGTCTGCGCAGGTGTAGAAAGACTGGAATAGAAGCTCGAGTTTTCTCTATGCCCCTTTGTTTTCTGAGCTTCTTTTTTTTTTTTTTTGGCATTTGGGTGGTTATCATGCCACAACCCTCATCACCAATAAATTATACAAGCGGCTTGGAAGTTTTCAGTCCAAGACAGTCAATCAAATAATACAAGAATACACTCAATCAAACCTTTGGAAAAGCTTGGACTTTCTGAACTCTAAATTCTTTGAAATCTACACAATTCACATAAGCATCCTGGACTTAACCATTCCAGTTGAGATAGTCAGACTGACATCAGAAAAGCTTCTCTTCTCTGAACATGCCGTGACTGATATAGGCTAAAGGCTGTGCAGACCTGAGTCCATTCAGCTCAGGAAACCTAACATGAAAATTCTTCAGTAAACAAAAATAACAATCCTTCAGGTGTTAAGTTTTTTGTGAACCCTGTAGCTCATGATAATGTCTGGCCTGATGAGATATGCTTACCGGTGCAATAGTGGCACGAATATTTGGGGAGTGAGCAACCACGTTCTGATTAGATGTAAGGCCTGCTCCATAAGACAAACTCATGCCTAGCACTGTTAATGGGACCAAGAACCCAATGCTAGGTAGGTCACAGACCCTAGGGGAGAGCTTATTACTACTATTCTGCTAAATGGACAGTATTACACTAACTTATCATTATACCTATAAATAAGTACATCTCTCAGCCCCTATCATAGAAGGTTTTTGGCAGTAGATAGCAATTAACATAAAGACCCACAACAGCTCAATGTGGTATAAGGAATAAGAGATTTCAGAGTGCTCATGCCTAAATGGCACATCTGTATCATATTCCATCTACTCAAAGCTCAGGGATCATCACATAAGAGGGGGAAGAAGAACAGGGGAGGAATTTGGGGGGAGAAGTGGGAGGTGGACTTGATCAAAATATGTTATATGCATGCATGAAATTCTAAAATAAAAATAAACCACTATCAGTAACTAAAAGGTCATGACATTTATGTGTGTCATTAAAAAAGAGTTAAGTTTCTAGAAGTTCATTGGTTGTGTGTTCAGATGAAAGACTACTCTCTAAGTTTGCTGACTGTGTGTTCAGGTGAATGGCTACTCTTCATGTTGATCCTTATACAACTTCAGCTCATTCTCCAGAAAACATAAAGCCTGGGCTCAGTACCAAATGCTCACAAGATGGACAGAGGCTTCCTGCAGACCATGTGAAAACCAGGACTCCAGGACTCTGGATTTGGAGACTGTATAAAAACTACAAGTACTGAGGTCTCCAATTACTCAGATTATTCTAATCACTTAAAACTCCAAATTATTTAATTTGAAAACAACTATCATCTTCTGCTACACCAAAAGAATGCTTTTTTTTCTAACCAGATGTTAATTTCTCAGCCTGCCCAAAAGTTCAAATGAATTAGAAAATCCCATACATATCAGAAGCCACATCTGCAAGCCTCTCTAATATGTCCACAACATCAGGGGGTCATAGGAATATTTTTAGCAGTTTCAAAATTTTTAATAATATTAGTATTTACACATAATTGGGTGAATTAAACAGATCTTCATGTATTTCCAATATCAATACAAACTTCCAAAATGCAAATTTAGGAGTTTGCTTCATTCAGTTTCATGTCATCCTGAACTTTGCATGAAGAAACATTATTTTCATATTTGGCCTCAACTGAATGAAATGAATTAATATCATAATAAATATTTTGAAATCACCTACCAACAGCCAGGAGCAGTTGCTCCAAGTTCCCTGATGTCTCCCGGTCAATGGTTTCTTCAATCTGAAATCCCGATATAGTCATGTATTTGTCAAACACTAGAAAAAATGAAAACAATTTATTAATCACTGAAGGAGCACTCTTTCCAGAAAGAAGGTATTTACTCTAACCAGGTATTATCTAATTAAAGAGAAATCCCTTCTCCTTCCCTGCTGACAAGAGCCTTGTGTCTGATCAGAGCCTCTGTGTGCTAAGCCGTAAACAATGATTACTTTGTACCCGGTATCATTTACTAGTTTTTTAAACTGAGTTTAATTTTGTTTTGTTTTGTGTGACAAGATCTTTCTAGAGAAACACAGGCTGGCCTCAAGCCTTGAACTTTTGATCTTCCTGACTCTGCTTCCCCAAAAGGGATTACAGGCATAAACCACCATGTCCAGCTTCTAAACAGTGTAAGCACTGATTTCTTGCCTTCCCCTCCCCCACTCCCCCTCACTAATTATAATCCATAAGACTGACAGGTAAATCTGCTGTGAGGGATTCTTAGAAGCCTTTCTCCTTCCTTATAAAAAGTGGTCGATAAGTATGGCTGATTTCTCTTTCTTCTTGCTATAAAAATGACCCTATCTAGAGCTAGGGCAACCATCTTGTGAAGAGGAAGAAATGAGCATGAGAAAGAAACCCAAAGCACAAAGGACAGAAGAACATAAAGCCAGAAAGATCCCAGTCTTACCAACTGACCATGGACTCCTACCTACAGAAATAAAGCCCAATTTTTAAAGTCAATTCACTTTCTCTGTGACCTGCCACAGAACTCATTCTCAACTGACACCAGGAGAACAGATACATTAACAGAATGTGGCCTTGGACATCAGTGTCTAGGAGAGAGTTCTCAGAGCGAGGCACCCTTGGTGTTCTGTGCTGCCCCTGCCACCTCTAAAGGCGAATAGAATACTAAGTGTGTTGAGTTTTGTAAACGCTACAGTAGCACTGATGACAACGATGCGATTTCTCCGAGTCAACGTGTAAAAACAGTGTTGTCCCCAAGTCTCTGTTTTGGAGCAGGAATCTGGTCAGACCTGGATGTACTTCTCAAATTTCCCAAAGCATTTGCCTCAAACAGACTTTTTCACTCACCCCTTCTCAAATGAGACACACTGCGTGTCCCAAAGATGGTGATAAACTTTTCTTCATCTGTTCCCCACTTCAGCTCTCCAGCCTGGAACAAGGCCTGCAACAAACCAGCCTGGATGAGTTAATCAGTCCTCCAGCTTTCCTGCTCTCTGTCCCCATACTGACTTCCTGAATAGCAAATCCACCTGCCTGTGCACAGCAGGCTAATGGGTCAACATGAAAAGTACTGCAATGGCCCAGGAGTTCATCTTTCCAAAATGTTGACTGGAATGTCCCACCTTTCAGGAGCAAAGCTACAGGCTGGAAAGTTCCAGTCATCTCACTGTTGAACATCTTTTTATTCTTTTAGGTTGGGAAATAATGGGAAATTACCTCTGTTTTTCTGGGCTTAATCTACATCTGTGGAGTGGCACATGACAAAGACTAAACTCCGTATTTTCTCTTCACACCTGAGACTGAACCAGTTAGCTATAAAATGTGTGGGACATTCCGAAGGCCACAGCGAAGTTTGAAAAGGTTGAAGGCCATCAGTGTTTAGCATCTATATGGCACTTAATAAATACTCCTGGAATCACTTGAATACCCAGTTACTTTTTGACATTAAAAATAAATAAATTTTCTCCAATGTTCACGTACCAGCTTACAAAATTTAGACAGGAACATTACTAAATATGAGCGTACTTGAGATACAGCCAGTCTTTCTGGTGTCATGTAGTCTTACCCTCTTAGTTTTCTGAGTTAACAGGGTGAATCCGTGTTGGGCCAAGAACAGAATTGCATGGCAGTGGCCTCCTATGGATGCAGCTTTCATCTCAGTAGCTTACCACTTAGATTATGATACTCTATGCCTATTTTTAAATTATATCTCCCGACTTCCCTCTGCTTCCCTGTGCCTGCACGACCCATCAGCCTCTCTCCGAGGTAACTCAATTGCGCCCTTGCTGCCTTGACTACCCCAGCCTCACTTACCCTCCCATCTCCCCTGCCATCCCTCTTCCTAGCCTGGGTCCTGTCCCATTCCTTATCTTGGCACCCCAGACATCAGGGAACCACCACTGCTTCCTGATCCTTTGCATCCAGACCAACCCAGTTCTTTCTTGAGGTTCCCAGGAGCCCTCTGGGCCTGGCCCCACCCTCACTTCCCTCTGCTTCTCTGGGCTGCATGGCCCATCAGCCTGTTTCCTGGATGCCACAGCTGAGCTCTCAGCCCAGGGCCACCACTGCTTCCTGATCCTTTGCATCCAGACAGACCCAGTTCCATCTTGGACCCAGTTCCTTCTCAAGGTCCTCAGGAGCCCTCTGGGCCCAGCCCTCACCTCCTTCTGCTTCCCTGGGCCTGTACAACCCCCTGGCCTCTCTCGGGGATAAGTTCATCGTGCCCTCTGCGCCTTGACTCCCCCAGCCTTATTCACCCTCCCATCTCCCATGCCGGTCTCTCCTCTTAGCCTGGGTCCTGTCCCATTCCCTGTACTGGTGCCCCACACACTGGGGGAACCACGACTGCTTCCTGATCCTTTGAATCCAGACCAACCCAGTCCCCTCTCACGGTCCCCAGGAGCACTCTAGGCCTGGTCCGTCCCTCAACTCCCTCTGCTTCCCTGGGCTACACAATCCCCCAGCCTCTTTACTGGACCCCTGGGCTGACCTCTCAGGCTGGGGCCATCACTGAAGAAAGGAATGACTATACCCAAGGGGTTGCAGAAAGAAATTCAATGAAGGTATAACTGTGGAAAAGTACCGCTATATCAAGAATGTAAACAGAAATAAAAATGAGAAGATTCAATACATATCTTTCATTAATACCTTTAAATATTAATGGACTGAACTCCCCAGTCAAAAAATAGAGACTAGATGAATGGATTAGGAAACAAAACCCATCTTTTTGTTGTCTGCAAGAAACTCATCTCACTTTCGAGGACATGCACTATATCTTAAGGTGAAAGGATGGAAAAAAACGTACCAAGCGAATAGTACTAAGAGAAAAGCAGGCGTTGCAATTCTAATATCTGACAAAAGAGACTTTAAACTAAAACTAATGAGAAGAGATAAAGAGGGCCACTTCATTCTGATCAAAGGACCAAAAAACCAAGAATATATTACAATCGTGAACATATATTCACCAAACTCTGGTGCACCCAACTTCATAAAAACAATACTACAGGGCTTTAAGAACCAGATTAACCCCAACTCATTAATAGTAGGGGACTTCAATACAGTAGGGGACCCCACTGTCTCCATTAGATAGGTCAACAGGGCAGAGAGTTAACAGAGACATCTGAATTAAACAATACCATGTACCAACTGGACCTAACAGACATCTACGGAGTATTCCACCCAAGCACCAAACGACACACTTTCTACTCAGCACCCCATGGAACCTTCTCCAAAATCGACCATATACTGGGGCACAATGCAGTAAAACTTACAATCAATACCAGAAGAAGCTCTAGTCATCACATGAACACATGGAGACTTAAACAACACACTCCTGAGTGATGAATGGGTCAAAAGAGAAATTAAGAAAGAAAAGTATTCCTGGAACTAAATGAAAAGGACAATACAATACAATAAAACCTCTGGGGCACGCTGAAAGCTGTCTTTAGAGGGAAGTTTATAGTTCTAAGTGCCTACATAAAAAATTCAGAAAGAACACAAATGACTTAACATTGCAACTCAAGACACGTGAAAAGCAACAACAAATGAAACCCAAACCCAGCAGACAAGAAGAAATAACAAAAATCAGGACAGAAATTAATGAAATCGAAACAAAGAAAATAATACAAAGAATCAAAAAATCCAAGAGCTGATCTTTGAAAAGATAAACAAGATTGACAGACCACTAACGCAGTTAACCAAAAGAAAGAAAGAGCACCTCCAAATCAACAAAATCAGAGGTGAAAGAGGAAACATCAAAACAGACACCAGAAAGATATAAAACATTGTAAGGGAATACTTTAAAAACCTATACGCTACTAAATAGGAAAACCTAAAAGAAATGGACAGATATCTAAAGGCATGGGAACCACCAAAACTAAACCAAGAAGAGATTAACAGCTTAAACAGACCCATAACACAAAAAGAAATTGACACACTAATACAAAACCTCCTGACTAAAAAAGCCCAGGACCAGATGGATTTACAGCAGAATTCTATCAGACATTGAAAGAAGATCTACATCCAATAATATTTAATTTATTCAAAAAGATAGAAATGGAGGGAGAACTTCCAAATTCTTTCTATGAAGCCAGCACCACTCTAATACCCAAGCAAGGTAAAGATACAACCAAAAAGGAAACCCATAGACCCATATCCTTAATGAACATAGATGAAAAAATTCTCAATAAAATACTTGCAAATCATATACAGACACACATCAACAGGATCATCCACCATGATCAAGTTGGCTTTATTCCAGAGATGCAGGGATGGTTCAATATACGTAAGTCAATAAACGTCATAAATCACATAAATGGGCTCAATGACAAGAACCAC